CTGCTTCCTATGTCATCAGCTTTGTTTCATCAAGAATGTAGCTCTCCAGGGTTGGCCTTTACAGAAAATTTATAAAACCGGATTCCCTCGTAATTGTAATTTGAGATTTATGTTCCTCTTTAATATTCTAGAAGTGGGGATTCTTAGAAGGTAGGGAAAGGCCAGGACTCACACCGTCAGAGGTGGAAGCTGCAGCTTTCTGTACGTTTTGTTTTAAGGTCACGCTCATCAGGTGCCAAAGCCTGATGCTGAGGAACATGGCGATTTACACTTGATTCTGGCTTGAACTTCACTGTTCCCATACACACCTGTCTCTAGTGATCTTTCCTTAATAAAACACTAGACCATATATACCTTAAGTCTCCATCAGTATTTTGTTCAGCCTTAGGTGAACAGATAAAGGACGACTATTCCACGTTATACTTATTAATTGATGTAAGAAAAATAACTGGGACCACATAGAAGCATTCCGTGTAACATTTGCATGTGATATATATTCACAATAAAACACAAAGGAAATTTTTGTCATGTAACGATAACATAATACAGTTAACATTTTATGTGAAATATTTATAAATATAATTAGAAATACAAACATTTAAGAAAGATGTTTTAATGCTGCCTTTATGTCTTATACTAAAACCTAGATCCTTTTTGGAGGAGACCGCCTATAATATTTCTTTCCTATTTGGATATTAACCTAAATGATGTTATTCCACTGGATTTCACATGTGTTGCAGGTCCTGCTGGGAAACCATAAAACTGGACTCATTTAGGAAAAGGCCATGTGGTACCTGAGAAAAGCTGCCATATGTGAAACCTCGCTTTAGGCCTGTGGAAATTTTTGTATTTGAAGTCTCCCAGGGACACGTCCATTGTGCTATTGTGTAATTTTATCAGCATGAACTTCTGCTGAATATTTTTCCTTCTTTTCAAAAATCCTTATTTTGGTAGAACTAACTTCAAAACTTAATGTTGCAACATCTGTGCCCATCCACCTGGGAGCCATAGAAGATGTATCCTGAAGATTATCTACATTTTCTAATCTTATAAAATGCTACAAAATGAGAGAAAAAGATTATACAGTTTTTCTTGGGCTAGACTTGTTCTTTTCTTTCTTTTTTTTTTTTTAAAGAAACCTCTGTTTTCCTCCTTAAAAAGATTTTCACAATAAAAGAACCAATACTTCTAAAGCTATACCAAATCTCTCCACAAATGTATTAAAATACTAATTTGTTTTTGCTTACAGATAATTCTTAATACATTGGGTATTTTTATTATACATAATAGAGTAGTTTTAAAAATTTTTTTGTTTGTTTTCTTTCCCTTTCTTCTTTTTAGAGACAAGGTTGGGTGATCATGGAGCATTATGGCCTCAAACTCCTGGGGCCAATTGATCTCTTACCTCAGCCTTGGCAGTCAGAATAGCTTCTTATTTTTGCTTTGAT